ATGAATCATAACCCGCCAAATGGGCTAGTGATTTGATGTGTGTTACTCACCTTACTTCACTGGAGCTATAATAATCTATAATCTCTGAAAATATTGGCCTGACGCTTTACTATTGGGGGCTCTGGCAGCTAGCTATACTGTTGGCTAATCAAATCTACAACGGGCTTAGCTAACGTTACGTATTTAGATGGGAGAGCATGAGAGGAGAGAATAATTAAGTTCACTTGTCACTGAGTTTAAGATGTTAAGTTAGTTATCATACCCAGTAAACGACCTGTTGCTCGCCATGATACAACCTCGCTCGCTCTTCTGTCAGACTGCGGCGGCAGTAGCGGGGATTCTGGGGAAATGTAGTGGGCATGGTCAACCTGTGACTTCAATCGAGAGTGACCAATAGAAAAAGGCCTTTCATCCTGGTGGATAGAGACCGCCCACTGAGACACAGCTTCACTCACAAGCAAAACTTTTCAACTTGCAAACAAAAGTTTTAGACCCGCAAAAAAAGACGGCAGAAAAGAGTCACATTTGTGGTATGCAATGAATGATCTTTATTTTTGAGCCTTACAAAGACTTTTTTTTGCAATCTTTTATTTTTTAATTACAAAATAATTATTTGAAGTGCACAAAGAAAAATAAAGATTTTCAAAGAATTATACGCACTGCAAATATATATATTTTTCAATTTCTTTATTTTTGAGCCTTAAGAAGACTTTTTTTTGCAATCTTTTATTTTTTAATTACAAAATAATTAGTTTTACTCTCAAACACAGAATGTTTGATTGAATAATAAAGACACAAAAATAACTCCATAGAGCATAAGAGACTTCCATAAAAAACCCAACAGCACTCTCAAAACAAATCTAACCGAAATCCTGAACTGTTGGGTCCCTTCAGGCTTGGATCACATAGCAGACCTCTGTTATACATTTGTAGATGAAAAAAATGAATGAGGAGATAAAATGGCAGTGACAGGAAAAAAATGGCAAGAAATGTAGAAACGGAAGAGGCTGAAAGCAAAATGAGGGCTCGTGTCTCAAACACAGAATGTTTGATTGAATAATAAAGACACAAAAATAATTCCATAGACCGTTTCCACTTGAAGGAGAGCAGCCCATTTCAGAGCAATCACAGTTCACCACGATTTTGCAAAAACACAGTCCAACAAAGACAAGAAGGCAGACCACTCCATCTGACGGCAGGATGGTTTAGAATCACCAGCTGCACTTGCCATTTTCAGAAGACTCTAATAACCAGACACACAGCTGTATTTGACTCTCTTTATGTATCCTAGGAAATCACCTTAGAAGCACTTTTAGGAAAAACAAATGTGCTGTGCCAAAGGAGTCTCTTATCTTTCAGTTAAAATATGAATATATATATATATATATATATATATATATACAGTATATATATATATATATATATATATATTCCACCACTGATCTAAAGTGATTGTATTTCTGTTGAAGCAAGCATTGTCTAACATTTTGTCTAATGCTGTAGAGACCCTCTGTACCTTCTGGAGGATGAGCAGCTGAAGAGATTAATAAGGATTTGAGAGTAGTTCTAAGCATGTGTACAGTATATGTCACCTTAGAGCAAATGAAACACACAGTCTCAAGTCTTTAAGCTCATTAAGTTAATCACAGTTGTTTTCGTGTAGCTTTTTATAGCTCAAACCTAGTGTCCAAAATTGTATTCAGTGAACTCCTGTAAATTATAAATATTCCATTTGCTTTAGGGTATCTTGTTTCAACCTTTTTAAGAGATACATATATTTATTCCAGGCATATATTTTATTGCAGCTCATTGTTTGTTGTTTTAATCAAGACATAAAACAGTTCATGTCTTAAAGGGGGCATAAAACAGTTCATGTCTTAAAGGGGGCATAAAACAGTTCATGTCTTAAAGGGGGCATAAAACAGTTCATGTCTTAAAGGGGGCATAAAACAGTTCATGTCTTAAAGGGGGCATAAAACAGTTCATGTCTTAAAGGGGGCATAAAACAGTTCATGTCTTAGAAAGGAAAAATTGAAATCACATCATATGACCCCTTTAATAAATGCAGTGATAATAATAAGATTTGCAGAGCTCTGATTCTCTTTTAGAATCTGATGCTTTTGTTCTCTCCCCTTAATACTTTTTTATTAGCACAGTGACACAAGAACCCATATTCAGCTATAGCCGCTGATTGGCATTCTGACATCAATGATAGAGAGGGGAATGCCTTCCCCTTCCTGTTCTTGCCTGATTGACAGGTTCTGTGCAGGCAGCTGAAGCTATGCACCACAACAATGTATTAATGTAATCGCTGGATCTCACGACGACCTCCTCAAGCCATATGTGTAGTCAAGAAAGGGCATTGTTTTTTATTGGAGAGTTTACCTTTATTCATGTCCAAATGCTACTCAGATTATATTGCAACAAAAAAGACATTACATTTAACATATTACATACAACATATTACATACAAGTTGCTCATAATTAAGCAATAAAACACAAACAAGAGTGCTGTGTTGTGAGTGTTATGTAATTCATAACATGCATTAATATTACAATCCTAGGAAGTTGCAGATTTATTGTTTTTCTTGCCAGTTTACTAATTAATATTTACAAAAATAATAATAACGTCAGCAGTAATCCAATAGTTCTTTTAAGTTATTTTAAAGAAATTTAGATTTGTCATGAAATAAACCTTTTAACATTAATGTGTGTACACTTATCAAATGGATTTGCTCCTAGTTCTTTTCCGTAATGTCTGGTAAGGGAATTCTAAATTAATTGAACCCAAACCAGTATCAACTGAGTTAATGGTATGTTGTGACCCCATTATAAAACCAGGTTCCAGTGTTATCTCTGGGATCAAGTCAACTGAGTCGATGTGATTATTGGCTCTTGCAATATATGCCTCTCGAGTAAGCTGTTCTTTCTTCTTGCAGAGAGCCATGTACCATTTAGGTGCAAAGTGACATAAAATAACTCCATAACATGACACCAAGATGGCAGCTGCTTGAATTGAATAGCGCTCATTGACCTTAGAAATGTATACAGGGGTGAAACAGACCCACACAAAAAGATAAATTAGCATGCTTAGGATGATGTGTCCAGTCTCATTGAAAGCCTGAGGTACCTTTCTCCCTTTGAAGGCCATCAAAAAGCAGACAAATGCTAGCACTGCAATATAGCAAAGCATGATGCCAAATCCAATTCCAGAACCTTCATTGCACTGTACGGTAATTATCAAGCTTTGGTCAGATTTAAACGCCTCTACAGCTGGAGAATCAAATATCAACCACAAGATGCAGATGAGGACTTGAATGAGAGTACCACAGGTTATGATGACAGGGGGCTTGTAAAACCTTTTAGCGTGCTCCTGGCGATACAGCGGAAGAAAGGATACAAAGGTGCGTAGAGCTTTAACCAAAATACATGAAACTGTGAGAGAGAACCCTAAGGCATACAAGATCTGTCGACCCCTGCAAATGTGAACATTGGGTTTGCCAATGAACAATATGACACTTGTATAGCTGAGTGCTAACCCTACCATCATTACAAAACATAGGGTTCCCCCTGCCTGTTTCATGACTGGTTTTCCATAAAAGACCAATAAGATGATAAGGGTGAACAACAACAACAGATAACCTATTGCAGTAAATGTAAGTAGAACTATAGCATGGGACCCATCCCATTTCCAATAGTACTCTTCCTTTGGCTTACAGGAAGTCCATCCTTTCAAAGACCAGGTATCATTTTCACAAGGAAGGCAATTCGGTAAGTCTAAAAGAAAGACAAAATTGATTTGAGGGTATATTTCAATCAAAAAAAGTTTTAAATATCTCATAATATGTACAGTATGTTCCCTTAAAATTTTTTTTTTTTTTAAGTTACGCAACTGAATTCTTGGCTCTACTGACATATGTGGTTGAAACATAAAATATCACATTCATTTCAGAACATTTTTACATGAGTTGTGCATTTACTGGCTCGAATTCTAATTTCTAGTGAAAAATTAAACAAGATAAAAACTCTACCTTTTAGCAATACCATATGCTTACAATTGATTACTTACTTGTTCCATTGGAGTAAGTACCCTCTAAACATTGTGTGCAATTATGGCAGCATGATGTTTTGAGGAGTTTCTTAGCTGTACCAGGAGGGCAAATAGCAGAGCACATGGAAACAGGAACCTAGAATAACATGCATGGAAGCGTGGTTAATGCATAGTCCTTATATGCAATATGTAATAATACCCTGTTGAAAAGACTAGGAATAATGCTTTCAAGCTGATGTACTGGCTGGCTTATCCAACAAGATAACCCGAAAACCCTTTGGTTAACCCAAAAAGACCATGCTGGTTGAAGTATCTTTTGTGGGTGAACAACATACTGTATGTGCTTGGATCAGCATGGAAATTTGTGCTGGTCCTTTCAGGAGGGTATGCACCTTTTTATGATTTTATGTGATTCAATATATAGCTGATGAGTTCTATAATTAGTTATTCTCACCGTATTGCTTGGATTACTCCATATTATGGGTGCCTTAATGTGAACTTCTCTTTTTGTCAGATTGTAATTTCCAACAACAACAAAGCGTCTCTGACCACTTGCTTCTTGTGGTTGCCAGTTTATTAGATCGTATCCGTTCATGAAATTTCCAGATGCATTAAAATAGAACGTTTGATTTTCCATAGTAAAATTTATCTTTTTCAGTTCCTTGAGGAGCTTTCCAAAAGAAAATATGCATATAAAGTAAGGTTCCAAGTTTTGCAATAATGTATATAGAAATTATATCAAGACCACTTGCTTCTGTCTTATGCATGTTAGTTTAAAGCTATCTCCAAAATTGGACGTAAACAGTTTACTTACCTTCCATGGTGGAAAATCCCGTTCTCCAGGGCAATCAGTTTCATTGCAGTTTAGAAGATGTTTCAAAGCATGAGCAATGGACCATACAGCTAACCTTTCGCCGTAGGTCATGCTGATGTCGACAGCTTCTGTTAGAAAACCAGCATCTTTCCCTAACTGCTTATACTCTTCAAGAAAGAGGTTTACAGAGCCAGGAGAAAGAGTCAGCTGCTGCAAAAACTCCTTAAAACCGGGATTGGGACCAGTGATGAAAGTGAACCCAAAAATGTCACCTACTTGGTTGATTCCCTCCATTTGAGATATATTTCGTGACATTGACCAAGCATCACTTGCAATCCAAGTACGCGAGATGTTCTGCTGAATCATCTCCTTGAACAGTTTAGAGACCAGCTCTTCCTTTAAGATAAGGACCACAACTTTAGCTTCAGATAAGCGGATTGTTTCTGCCACCTCTTGGATCCTTTTGTCGATTTCATTGTGTGCTAGGTAATGAGGCAATACTTCTTTGAAAGCATGACAGATATCTGCAGCTTCTGAATCAGCTAAGAAACTTTGTAAGGCATTTTTCCCATAGTCATCATCCCCACAGACTACGCCAACCCAGTCCCAGTGAAAGTGTTTCATGAAATTAACCAGAGCTTTGGTTTGGTGAACATCACTGGGCATTGTGCGCAGGAATGCTGGGTATCGCACCCTATCACTAAGCGTTTGTGCAGATGATGTTGTGCTTATCTGTTTTAAGAGAGAGAGAAAAAAAGGTAAGAAATATTTATTGTTGATGTTTTTTTGCAACTGTCGCTACAAAACTGAGATTCATCAAGAATCGATTTTGACTCCCTGAATCAAAACTGAATCAAATTACCTAAAGATTCACCCTAAATGAACATAACGTTACTAACCTGTGGGACCATGTATAGACTCAGAAGCCGAGCCACTGCCAGAGAGTCTTCTGAGAAACGTGCTCCAATGATTGCTTTTACGTTAGGCCTTTCAAGCACCTCACATTGGACAGTCAGTGTGCCATTCACAGCGAGAAGCTGCTCGGTGCTCTGAATGGCCTTTGATGCATCAGAGCAAGTGTCACAGATGTAGTAGCCCAGTCGCACACCGGGGAGGAAGCTGGAGTTATTGATCGTTTCAATAGTATGCACGACAGCTAGAGTCCTTACAAGCGAAATGAGATTTAATCTACAAAGAAAATGATGGAAATCTTGATTAGAAATTAAAACAATAGCATATTCAACTTTCTAATCTAAGAAATAGATTCTTACTATTTTTCTGTATATAAACTTAACCTAGTTTTGTACAGTTTATAACAATCACTCTACGAACAATTAATAGGGCTTAATATTGACTGATTTTCAGATTTGATTTGACTCTAATTTACTAGTTCTCAGTTAAGCTGATATAAATGTGCTTATTCTAGCTGTTCTATTACATTAAAATATCCTAGTTACAATGTCAATAGGCCTGTTGTATATTGCCTGTTTGCTACGATGAACAGCAGTAAAGATTGTGACAATAACACATTTAAGGTTCACTTTATTTACACTTTTGTAAATGTCAGAATTTATTATTATAATTAATATTCATTACGGGTTAACATATAAAAACAAATACACCCAATGTAAGAGTACAGAGGAGGTGAAGGAGTATGTGTATGTATATATACAGTATATACAGAGTGGTGGCATATTTAAGAGGTTTCAGTTGTTTTTGTTGAATTGGCCATTACAATACCCATGAAGCGAACTATTGCTGGAACTACCCGCGACGGAAGAAATCTGCTGGAACATTGAAAATGATGGACTGGCCCAAAGTTTGGACCTCAACCCCATCGAGCAAATTTATATATACATATATATAAAAAAACTCACTGTGTGCAGTTGTATTTTTCGGGACGTTCTCGCACATGTAGTGTCTGAACTTTAGAATGGCAGGAACTGAGCACTCCTATCCGTATATCCCCATCTGCCCAGGCCCCACATATGCCTGGTGAGTATTCGCAGGCAGACCCAAAACCGGCCAAAATAAGAAAACCTATTAAGGGCCAGTAAAAGTCTGGTAGAAACATGATACAATTTGACTGAGCACAACTGTAACCCTAGAGATCTGTTCCCCTTGACAGCAAGGGTAAAATGCATAAGTAATCTGACAGTCGTTCTGGTTTAAGTAAGAGAAGCATGCAAGGAGGCTGGCTCATTCTGAATGAGCACACAAAAAGGTGTCAAACAATTGTGTCACTGGATCAACTCCAAATGCCAGCCGAACATACCTTTATTCTACATCATTCCCCCACAGACCTGTTCTGTAAAATTCCAAAAATTCACATTACGTTCCATTGAGAGCTGAAATTTGAACCAGTTGTAATTTGCTCAGAAAAGAAAAGTGTGGAAATCCCACATGCGTGTTTGTGTGTATTGACAATGTGTGTGTATGAGCTGATGCTGCTGTAGAATTCTTGTGTGAATGAAATATGAAGAAGAGCACCCACATTAATTATAAAAATTGAGAAAGTTTTTTTTATTATTTTTTTTTAGCTCTGTCACGTTTTGCTGGCCAGCACTCACAAAGATGTAGCAGATTAAATTAATAGACTTATAACTATCCAAAAATGATCAGATCACAGGAACACACAGCATGAACACCAATCAAACAATATATTAATGAGAACCGACCAAAATAACTCAAATACAGGCATTATATTTACAAGGTAAACCAACAAAGGAAACAAGAGACACAGGTGCAATGAATCAATAACGAAGGGGAGCCAGATCAGTAGCTATGATAAATAATGAGAAGCAGGAACATGGGGAACAAAGGAAACTAGTTCAAATTAAACACAAGGAATCAAGTAAATTAAACATATATATTTTAAAAAATATTTAATAAAAGCTTAAACATTTGCCATTTACTGATAATTCCATAAATCATTTGTAAATTGTCGTTAGTTGAAATGTAGTTGTCTATTATTAATTGGTCTAATGTTAATAATGGAGTGGCTAACTAATAAAAAATCATGGCAGTCTGTCGTGGATCACAGCAGTAATGTAATCGAAATAAATAAAATGCAAGTAGAAATGCAACATAAGTTTATTACAACATTTTAAATATACAAATCATGCTTGTGAGAATATGACACTTCATTACCTAATAAAAGGTTCCTTTTTTAATTTTCAAATTCTAATTTGTTTCGAATTTTGTATAATTAGTTTGACCTGACAGGTGGGGCTTTTGTGTTAACAATGGTTGACCTAGCTTCAAGATTGCAGTTAGTGTAGTACATCACCATCATGTTTGTTTGTTTGAATAAAAATGAAACCAGTATACAGGTATTTCCCTCAGTATAGCAATACTCTATCATACCTGATTTATAAAAAAAGATTTTGATTTTACCACTGGATTCTCTTTGAAGCATTACAGTGCTTACATCATGGATGTGTTTTAATGGTTTTACTCAATAGCTGTTGTCAAAGACTCCCAAGTGCTCTTGGCTTCCTGCAAAGCTGGGAAGAATCTAAGGCATGTATTAATTCAAATGTGTGCATATTCATGTAGTCTCTTAGGTTCAAATATTTGCTTACTCCGGACAGAAGAGGTTAAACTGGTGCAACTGGTAAATTAAGCCGGGAGTTTTTCAATCTTGCGTTGTACTATCAAGTTATGCATTCAGTGTTAGGTTTCATGGTTCAGAGGTTTTTTAACAAAAAACAAGTTTGTAAATCTGTCTTGCCATCTTTCAGGGAAATACTCAGTGGTACACTTGAAGTGCATCAAATATCACCTTCTGATTAAGAGAAGAAGTGGCTTCTTTTGACATTTGCTCGGCACGTGCATGTGTTCAAGTCCCAACAGGAAATTCCCAGTGTTTCTGGCTTTGTCTATCTGGATGTGGTACTGTATACATACAATATTATAATCATTTTCATGTAATGGCTGAAGCATCTTAGGATTCTTTGTGTGTTGCTTCAAGAAAGCAACTACATTTGTGTTTTTACTTTCTTTCTTTTATATTTATTTATTCTTCATTCATTAATTCATTCATTCATTTATAATCATTTAGTCATTTTATTATTCCATTTAATCATATTTATAATAATCATTTCAACCATTTATATACTAATTTCATTGATTTAGTCATTGATTAGTTGCATATTATTTATTTATATGTTTGTTTGTTTAGTCTTACGATTGTGTGGTTTCAAGGGATATTTGTGTTCATGAGTACGAGATAAGAGAATGTCTCCATTTAAGGTTTTTAACATCACGGGATGATGTTGTGAAGCTGTAATTTTCCATTGCTATTGCTTGTGGTATGATAACACTTGTTGGATTTGTGCTGGTCAGATGAAGTCTGAGCATTGAAACATACACATGAAGCGAACTATTGCTGGAACTACCCGCGACGGAAGAAATCTGCTGGAACATTGAAAATGATGGACTGGCCCAAAGTTTGGACCTCAACCCCATCGAGCAAATTTGGGGCGAGTTGGAAAATAAACTGGATAGATCTATTGTACATTCAAAGGAAAGCCGTTGGCTTGAGTTACAGAAGGCATGGGATAACATAGTGTTGAAGTTTTTAGGAAAAATACTGACACTATGCCAGATAGACGTGCTGCTGTAATTGCTGCAAAAGGTGGACATACTAAGTGTTTAAGTTAAAAGTGGATAAAAACAGTACAACTCACTTCATCTGATATTTGTTGTGTTCAGAGCAACCCATGTTTCATCCCAGTTTAATAATACTAATGATTAAATTAGCAATAATTATTCATTATATCATATCATATTATTGAATTTAAACCATAGTATTATTGTTAATTACATAAATCAAGTGGCATTTGGTGTACTGTACAGTATTATTAACATTATTAACAAATAAGCTTGCAGCAAAGATACTTGTTGGGTTACAGATTTTTAGTTATTACATTCCAACAAGTAACATTTTCCAACAAATAAAATGTACATTTAAATAATGGAAAATCAATACTCAGAGTATTCTAGGTTGCATGGTAACACACACAAGCACAAATGTCTGTATCAGATGAAGTCTGAGCATTGAAACATACACATCTAAGATATCCAAGCTCTGCTCCTTTTTTATCATCAATACTTCACCTTCTACTTCATGTCAGAATACTCTCAAAGGAACACTTATGCAACTTGAGGAGTATGAGAGGGCCTTCAAATCTTGTATTTGACAGTGGGGGGCCTTTGAGTCTAAAAGGGTTTAGATCCATGGCCTGCAGGGATGAATTGGAACACCTTACAAGCGTGAGGCCAATAACCAGTCTCTCTACGTGAAAAAAAGGCAGAGGAGATGGTTATTGACTTGGAAGGTCTCAGTCCACCCACACTTGATCGATCAGCAGTGCAATCAGCGCTCAGTTTTATGTTTCTTACTGTGCACAACTCCTCAAAACCCTCCAGAAACCTTCACCTCATGCTTAAAAAAGCACAGCAATGTCTGGAGTCTCTCACCCCCTTTAAGATTAAAATGTTCCACTGAGAGTATCCTGACATGCTGCATCACCGCCTGGTGATAGAACTGCACTGCTTCTGTCTGTCCAGATGACTTTGCAATGTGTGGTGAAGACTGTCAATCTCCAGCACTTTACTAACAACCATTCAACAAGCAGTGTCAGGAGAGCACACCCCATCATCACAAAAACCTTCTAGAAGATGCAGCCTGTCAGAAAACTTCATTCCAGATAGCACTTAAATATCTCACCATAACATACGATGGAATGTTTACAATCGTTGCACATAGATGTCTGCACTTGTCTCTGCATTTTAAGAGCTGAATGACAGTAAAAGCTATAACAATGAATCTCAAAGTCTTGCTAATGTGCATAATACCACAGACACAAACAAACAAACAATAAATAAATAAATAAATACATTCATTTTAGCTTAAATGTATTTTAGCTAAATAACTTTATAACTATTTTAGTATTTTCCTTATGTTCAATCAACCCTTTAGTATATATAACATTGCATCTCTATTTCTTCTATTTTTTTAAATTGTATCTTTTTTAATGTTTTATTTTAACAATCTCTATATTGATAACATTCTGGGTAATCCTTGGAAAGGGGTTGTAATAAAATTCACATCTAAACTGTCTATACGTTTTACATTGGGTGATCTTCAATAAAAGTGTAGCACAAAATATATTATTATTAGTATTAGTATTATTTACATTTAGTCATTTAGCAGACACTTTTATCCAAAGCGACTTACAAATGAGGACAATGGAAGCAATTATTATTGTAATTATTATTACAGCAACGTTTCAGATGTAGTAAAGATGATTTTGAATCTTCCCCTGCGCTGAGTGACGCGTGTATTAAACATAACACAGGTTTATGTGATGTCTGTTTAATAGAGGAAACCATAGAGCATGTTTTGAAGATATGTAAGGCATATGAAAAAGAAGGACGATTCTTAAAGGGTTACTCCACCCCAAAACGAAAATGTTGTCATTAATCACTTACCCCCATGTCGTTCCAAACCCTTAAAAGCTTTGTTCGTCTTCGGATCACAATTTAAGATATTTTTGATGAAAACCAGGAGGCTTGTGACAGTCCCATTGACTGCCAAGTAAATAACACTGTCTAGGCCCAGAAAAGTATGAAAGACATCGTCAAAATAGTCCATCTGCCATCAGTGGTTCAATCTGAATTTTATGAAGTGACGAGAATACTTTTTGTACGCAAAGAAAACAAAAATAATTACTTTATTCAACAATTCGTCTCCCCCGTCACCGTAGCGCCATTTTGGAGAGTATCCACTGAGCGAAAGCTGCGTATACTGTTCTACATGTCTGTGTCAGCCGCACCACACGAATATGTTTTCTACGTTTATTTACGCTTTGATTTGAATTAAATTGAATTGAATTTGCGTACAAAAAGTATTCTCGTCGCTTTAAAGGGGTCATATGAGGTTGCTAAAAAGAACATTATTTTGTGTATTTGGTGTAATGAAATGTATTTATGCGGTTTAATCCGAAAATGTATTTCTACATACTGTACAGTATTGTTTCTCCTCTATGCCCCGCCTTTCTGAAACGCGTCGATTTTTACAAAGATCATCGGCCTGAAAAGCGAGGTGTGCTCTGATTGGCCAGCTATCCAGTGCGTTGTGATTGGCCGAATACCTCAAGCGTGTGACGGAAATGTTACGCCCCTTAACATATTGTGATGACGTGTCCCGGCCGGAGCGACGAGACAAAAACATTAAAACCCATTATAAACAAGGGATTTGTTGCATCCAGTAGGGACATAATTATAATTAGGATTATAATTACTTATACTGTCTTTTTACGCGTTGCATTGCATCGTGCCGCGTAAACATAAAACCTTGTCTGCATTTGTGATCGGAGAAATGACAAACAACAAGCGCTACTCTACACTGCTCAAAACTCGCGTTTGAATCGTCAGTGGCAAATTCTGTAAATA